TTTTTTTTTTTTTTTCCCTTTTTTGACAAATTTTATGCACAATGAAAGCTATAGATTTTCCAGTTGCTCTGCAAGCATTCGTGTATATTTGTTAACGCTTACGTTCATCCTATAGTTGAATGCTAACCCAATTTTTGTTTACAAGATTCTCTTTTCGGGGCAAAATCCGATATTTTGTTTAGGTGTTGAATAATAATAATAATAATAATAATAATAATAATAATAATAATAATAACAAGAAAAACTATCCGGCTACATTAGGATCATAATTTTTTTTTAATTTTCATAAATAACTATGAAGTAATAAGAAAGATATTTTTGTAATTATAATAAAAAGATATTATAATAATTTTGGTAAATTATAATATGAAGTGTATTTTTATAATTATGATAAGAGAAGTATTAAAGTAATTTTAGCAAACACTAATAAAAGGGTATTACATAATTATAGTTATAGGGGTATCTTATTAACTTTGGCTAATTATGACAAAGGGGGTATTTTAATAAATATATTAATTGAGGTATTATTGTATTTTTTGTTAATTATAAAAAGAGGGTATTATATGAAGTAATTAAAAAGACATTATAATCGTTTTTAAGGGAATTAATTTTATATTATTATATAAATCTTAAAATTTAATGCGTATTTATAACGTAATCAAAAATGTATTTTCATAATAGAGTATCAAATAAATTTTGGTTAATTATAATATGAGATGTATTTTCATAATTATGATAAGAAAGACATTATATGAAGTAATAAAAAGGGTATTTTTATAATTTTGATTAAAAAGTATTATCGTAATTTTAGCTAATTATAATATGAGAGATATTTTTGTGATTATGGTATGAAAGTAACTTTTTAATTATAGTTATAAGATATTATAATAATTTTGACAAATAATAATAAATGGGGTATTTTTATAATTATAGTAAAATAGCATTTATGTAATTATAGTTGTAAAGGCATTATAATAATTTTAGTCAATTATGGTAAGAGGGTATTTTAATAATTTTGTTGAGAAAGACATTATAATAACTTTAGTTAATTATAGAAAAATGAGTATTGCAATCAATTTGGATTCATTTAATTTAATTATCAAGTAATTACAATGGCACTATGATTTTTTCTAAGGGGATTCATTTCATATTATTGTATAAATATTAAAATTTAATGCATAATTATAATGCAATCAAAATAATATTTTTTTAATTATACTTAGAGAGTATTATAGTCATTTTGATCAATTATAATATAAAGGGTATTTCGTAATTATGTTTTGAGAGGTGTTATATAAAGCAATCAAAAGAGTTTATTTGTAATATAATTAGATAATATTATAGTATTTTTTGCCGATCATAATATGAGAGATATTTTTATAATCATGGTAAGAGGATATTGTTATAATTATGATTTAAGGTATTAGAATAGTTTTGGTAAATTCTAATATGAGGGATATTTTAGCAAATATGATAGGAGCATTATAGTATTTTGCTAAATAATGGTATGAGGGTATTTTTGTAATCATGATTATAGGAGTCTTATAATAATTTTGATTAATGATGATAAAAAGGATATTTTAGAAATATTATGTTAGAATAAATATTATAATAATTTTAATTAATCATATAATTGATGATATTACAATCAATTTTGATATATGTAATTCAAAGTAAAAAAGGAAAAGAAAAGAAAAAGGTATAAATGGGTCCCACACAAATAAATACAATCTTTACAAATATATATTTTTTATAATTTAAAAAAATATATTAATTTTTTTAAAAGAAAAATAAAAAATCATGAAAAAAGGTAAAACCATAAAAAAAAAACCAAACACGGATTAACACGTGGCTCTTTGACGGATCAACATTGTTCATTCGTATAATACCAACATTAATGTTATGGATTTATCCAATAAAATTAAATACAAAAAATTAAAAAAAAAAAAGGAAAAAAAACCCACAAAAGTGTCATATTGACATGAGTTTAAAATATTAATTTATTAAATTAAAGTAAAAAATAAATTTATTAATATAATATATATGTATAAAATTAAATAACTAATAAAATATAAATTTTTATATATACCTTAAAATAACTTAAGATAAAATACTCTAAATATATTTTCAACGTGAACTCATTTCTCTTTAAAAAATTCAAATTTGTCTTAAAGTAAAATATTATAAAAATATATAAATATTCAAAAAAAAAAAAGAAGTAAATAGAAAAAAAAATGATAAAAAAAAGGAAAAAAGAGATTAAAAGGAAGAAAGTAAAATGACATAAGATATATCATTAGTATCGGTGAAACAAAAAAAAATTTAAAATTTTAAAAAATATTCATTAAATATAAAAAATGTAAAATAATAAAAAGCAAATTCATGGTATACCTAAATATCAAATTGATTTCATAAAAAATTAAATTTAAAATCTTGAAGAAAGATAAAAAAAAAAAAAAGGAGAAAATTAAAAAAAAAAAAGGTTTAGTATTAGGTGGGTCTCATTTAAAAGATAAAATTTATTAAAATTTTATTTATTAAATATTTAAAAAAGTGACCAAAAATAGAGAAAAATAAAAATAATAAAAAAAGGTGACACATGGCTTGGATTTTGGTAATGTATTGTAAAACTTTAATTATTTTTTATTTAAAAAGAGAAAAATAAAAAAGGGTAAAAAACAAAAAAATTTTGAAATAAATGAGTCTCAAACATAAAAAGTAAAATCTTAAAAATATTTTTTTTTATAGCATTTAAATTATTTATTAAATAATTTTTAAAAAAGTCAAGAAACAAAAAACATTGAAAATGACACGCGATAATCAATGAAAATGAAACTATTGACCGCGCATCATTTAAGTTTGTTTTAAAGAAAATCTTAATTATTTTTATTTAAAAAGAAAAAATAGAAAAAGGTAAAAAAATTAAAAAAAAAAGTTTGATATAAGTGGATTACACTTATAAAAATACAATCTTTACAAATATATTTTTTTATAATTAAAAAATATTTATTATTTTTAAAAAGAAAAAGTGAAAAAATTAAAAAAACCAAAAAGCAAAAGGCACTCCTAAATAAAAATTATATTTTTATAATTTAAAAAATATTTATTATTTTTAGAAAGAAATGTATAAAAAAAAAAAACAAATGTAAAAAAAATCCAAAAAGCCAAAAAAAATCAATTATAATTTAATTTGTGACATTAAAACGTAATCGAACAAAATCAAATCAATATATTATTATGTTCGACGTTAAAATTAATCAAATCAATATATTATTATGTTCGACGTTAAAATTAATTGAAAATTTTAAATTTAAAAATCGATTAAAATTTGATCGAATTTTATTTTTTAAATTTAAATTTAAATTGAGATAAAAGTTTCAGTTAAATTAAGCTTACTTGATTAACTTTAAGTTATAGTAAAAATGTACAAATCTCAACAATAATACTTAATAAATTTATTAAAAAAATAAATAATATTTAAATTTAAATAATCAAATCCAAATAAAAAATCATCTTTCTAGAAACTGTGTAAAAATTAATCAAATCCAAATTAAAGCTCATATTTTCAAAAGCTATGTAAAAATGTGATAATAGGATTTGCAAAAACAAAACTCCAAAAACTTAAGCTACTCGGGCTAACGGCGTCCACCACATATATATATTTGTTTAGTCGGAGTTTTAAACACAAACCCAAAGGATCACAAATTTCTTACACCACTGTAAAATTCCAAAATTTTACTGTCAAAATTTCATAAATATAAGAAGCATCCAAAATATTAAAAAAAGTTACCTGATCAAGGAGTGAGAGAAGGACTAATCAAAAAAATGATCGGAAGAGAGTGAAAGGAAAAGGAACGCGGTTGGCCTAGGATCGGGGGAGCGAAAAAAACTAAGCTGACATTAGAAGGATAGTTAGTTGGCTATTACATCAACATCAAAAAAGATTGGAAGAAAGTGAGAAGAAAGGGCGCCACAAATAGGTTTTTGGTGGGATGGGAGAGACAGGGAATAAGAGGGAAATAATAGAGGGAGAGAATAAAATGAAAAAGATTAGGGTTTTTAAGTTAAAGGTAAGATAATAAATTCATAAATAAAATAATTAAAAAATATATAAAAACAATAAAACTTAATTAGTATTATGATTTATTCAAATAGAATATTAACATATTTAAATTTAATTTGTTGGATAAATTAAATTATTTAAATTTAAATTTAATTTGACAATAATCAAATTAAATTTTAATATTAATCAAATTAAATTCAAATAAATTATAAATATTAATATATCATATACATTCTTATGTCACACTTAAAAAAAATAAATGACATTGTATGTTGTACATTATCAAAATTTAATTTATAAATAATAATAATCTTAAATTCCAAAATTTTGGCTTTCAATATACTTTGACTTGATGGATTCAAAGAGATTCAGTTGATTTATTTTCTTAAAACTAGATTTAAACTGCAAAAATAGTTTTTCTTGAGCCAAAAAAGAAAAGGTAAATGGATCAACTAGCTTAGAAGCAATAGGCTAATGGCACGCCAGACGCAATTTTAGAAGTACCAGAACATAATTTGTAAATACGGAGTACACAGCATCAATCAGCCTGTTGAACAAGTTTAAAAAAAAAATTTTTTGATGAAAATCCTCTATTAAATGACTAAACTAAATAGCATCCACCTAAATAAACACATAAGAGCGAAAGACGTTAAAGCAGCCTACTATTTAGAGTTTTGAAAGCAAATTTTTCTTCAAACGATGCTTTCGTGAGACCTTACGCTAACAAAAAACACATTCCTTGTCAAATGAATGTCATAGAGTCACCCTGACTTGCATCTCTACAAAACTAAAATCATAGTGCAAATACCATTAGCAACAAGAATTAATGCTAACTCATAAAAAAATTAATGATTAAATGCAGATCCGTCCATTCATTTGAATCAGAAACAACCCCCCCCCCCCCCCAAGAAAAAAGGAAGACAGTAAAACCAAATCATGGCCATTTGTTAAAACGACTAAAGCAGAGATGATTCAGAGAGCAACTTCATATGTTAGATGCATCCAAACAGAATGTCGTGCAGGAAGATGATGATCACGAATCAAGACGTTAGGATGCCGAATCCAGGAAACCAAATGGCACATCTCATTTTATTTCCTTAATAAAGATGGGCAACAAAAAACAGAATAAAAAAAAGAAAGGCAAAATTAAATTAACAAAAGCGCATTAAAGAACAAGGATATAGAAATTGCCTCAATGTGTATTTTCAGGAGAATGATGTATCCGACTTAAAATTAAGGACTCAGACTCATTTGACCCAGGAATCAAAGCCCCAGATACCTTAGGAGAACCATCTGACAAAAATAAAGAACCACTAATTGCATCCCCAAAATCCTGTCTTTCCTTGCAACTATAGACAGAATTATCACCTTCAGTTTTGTTTATTTCTTTTGAATTTTCATCATCAGTGGGTAAAACAACAGCCTCTGATGCATTATCCAGTGACCGGAAAGAATCTCCAACTACATCCCCCAAAATCACCTGTTCAGATTTAATCTCTTCCGCATCATTGCCATTCAAAACTGGTTCAGACACCTCTGGGGTCCTCTGACCAATATCAATATTGGACAGTTGAGATATCTCTGGAGGAAGGCTATCCACATGATCTGGCAACTCTCCGCTTTGAACTGAAACTAGTTGCTCCATATTCTCCTGAGAATAAGCAGTTGGAACAGCTTCTCCTTTCTGCTGATCTGAATTTGGCATTGCTGAATCCAGCATTTCTGCATCAGAAGTCAAAACTGGCTCCTCTGTTTCTTCTACAACAAGATCAGAACTTTGTTCCTTCCCTTTCTCCTGATTGGATGCTGAAATAACTGCTAACGTTCCACCATTGACATTTGGCATAGTATCCATTTGTAGCCTCTGCTTCTTGTAGAGGTCCATGGCTTTCTGCAAGTCAGAATACAAAAGGTGAAACACCATCATTAGTTTAGAATCCTAAGTTCAAAGTGGAAGTAGAAATTTACTGCGTTTGACCCAGAGGACGAAAAAAGTGTTAACATTCCAGACTGAAGCTGAAAACATTGTCGTTCAAAACTATTAAGAATATTAGAAATTAGAAAGGGTCTATGGTACAAAATAGGGAGAAAGGAAGCATTCCACAGGTCAATTTTTTACTAAATGCTACCTAACAATTCACAATCCTATTCCTCTCATACTTTTGTAACCATGATCACCGACTTTCAGATGAACTAACACCCCTTCCTGCCATCCCCTTTCCAAAAGAAATGGAGAACCAAGCACAGAAAGAAAAAATAGGGCAAATTGGAAAGTCATCCATCTCTCTCTCTCTAAAAAGCCCAACACAATAACCTAACATTAAAAAATATAGGAAAAGAAGAAAATAAAAAAAAAAATGAAAAGAGTTGCACTTTGTTTGGTTTCAGAAAAGGCTTTTTGATTTTTTTTTTTTTTGAAAAATAGTTATTTTTTTTAAAAATGAATTTGATGAATGAAAACAATAATTGTTTTCTAAAAATGCAAAATAGTGAAATATGTTTGATATCACTGTACAATCTCTTTTAAAAAAGTAATGATTAAATAAATAAATAAAATATTCAATGACATTATCCCTGATTTTAAATTTCTGAATTTTGTTTAATAGTTTCATTTACTATTGTAAAAGAGATTTGAGTAGAGAAAAAAGACTAGATTATAAATAATTCAAGATGCCAAATATATCTAAAGACAAAAAAACAAAGCAATTATGAAAATAATTAATATTAATGTATTCTAATTATAAAAATAACAAATACTTATTAATTGATTGCTTCATAAAATGTTCAAATATGGATTAACTTCTTAACTTGCAAAATTCAAGCAAAAAAGTAATGTGTATCCCTTGTTTTCATAATTGAAATAATTTATTTTTTGTTTTCTTGTTTGAACCAATTTTTATTTTTATTTTCTAAAAGCTTGGTTTTTTTTTCAATTATTAAACATGGTTTCATTCTTGTTTTCATTTTCCAAAAAATGAAAACGAAAAATAACTATGTTCTTTTAAAACCCAACACTACCTTAGATTCCACATTTGTTTTCAGAATAAGGATAGACCAACCATATAAGATCTTCCTCCAAAAAAGAAAGCAAACCAAGTTTCAAAATAACCAAAAACAAAAAAGCATGTAACGTTTTTGCAATTCCTACAAAAGAGATAACCAAAAGAAAAATCTTAGATGCATGCACATATTTATATATATTCCCACTCAAAAGAATACTAGAGATTTATATAAATGTGACTAGGTCCCTCTATCCTATATACTACCTGAAAAACAGAAGCATTAGTTGCTGGAATAAGTGAAGGGCTAAGCACAGCAATGGAAGATTTTTGTACAGCTCGTCCACCATTCTGACAAAATTCGAGAAAAAGAGAATTATAAGTCAAAAGATCAGCTAAAACTAGATACTGAGAGAAAGAGTTATGTACAAAAAGGTTCCCTACCTTCAAATTCACAAGCATTGTTACATCTTTAACCAAATCTTTACTTTGCTCCACATTCAGTAAGCTCATACACTGATCATACAACTCAGAACAAGCAAGTTCTGTTGAGATGTCAAGTTTAGAAAGATAAACCTGGCAATAATGAGCAGCATCATCATTACTTGACATTTTGGAAGAATTAGGTGACTTGTGCGGAATCTCAGGTGAAAATCTAGAAGATTCTTTCACTGGTGATATGACATTAGATCTTATTTCCAAGCTTTTCACCTGAACATCACTATGGCTATTTTCATATTGTGGTGTCTGATGTTCCTGTCCATCACAAACATCATCAAGAGGGGCCTGCACAGGATAATCCTCTTTCTGAGATGTTGAGGGCAAGTCAAAATCACCATTTTGCCCTTTCCACACATCTGAACTCGTATCCCATCCCCGACTGTTCATTGGATGCCCATTCTGGTCCCATTCAGGACCACCGAACATGTGTGCTTCATCCCTAAAAACAGCATTATTTCCGTCCCAACCATGCAAATGGGTTGGACCAGAGCCATCCATCATATTCTGCCAGCCAATTGGGCGCAAATAGTAAGGAAACCTTTCAGCATCAGGAATATGATATGGAATCCCAGAGTGATTAATTTCCATGGAGGGTCTAACAGCAAACATAGATGGAGATGGAAACTGTGGCATCATAGCTTGAAAACCACCATGGGGTGGCCCAGGTTGGAATGGGATGAAGCCATTTGGAACAGGTAATGGCCAGTTTGGGGCAGCCCGCCAGGCATTTGCCCCTCTTCCAACATTCATATCACTGCTCCTCTTGTAACGGCCAGTGATATTAATTCTATTATCTTCTTCCAGAGAAGCCATGAAAGAAGGGCTGCCAATTCCTGCTCTGAAACCAGGTGGCTGCAGAATCAAAGATGAGTTGCCCTGACCAGCTCTACTATAAAAGGCGGAATCTGCTCGAGAGGATTCATCCAAAAGAGGCTTCTCAAGAGGTAAGTCTCGACTTAGCCTATCCTCGCCACCAATGGAGGCACTGCTCCTCCATCCAGTCTCCTCTCTGTCAAGGCTCCGCGTAACACCACTTCTAATCATATATCTACGCTCAAGACTTGTTGAAGAAGGAGATCTTTCTATCATACTCATTGGTGAAGCTTTTGAACTTGAGGACCTCTCAGTTGGCAACTCCCCAGAATGGCCCTCCTCCACTCTACTAGATTTCTCCAAAGATCTGTATTTAGCACCTCTCTCAGATGCTCCAGAAAGGCTAGTTACCTCTCTTGATGAAGCTGCTTTGGACCTCTGCTCCATCATTGAATCTCTAAACTTTGAATCTTCCTGTTTCAAAAGTCTGTAAATGAAAATAACTATGTATTATACTCTGAACAAAGCACTTGGGAGAGTGGTATGGGGCCCTACCCACAAGCAGCAAAAATAAGTAGAATTCCACACATGATGAGAAAATAAAATCAGTTTAAATTTTCTAACAATAAGTCTGAAATCTGATAGAAACTAACAGCTCAATACCATGCCATTTTTTTCAGTTGACCATATAATCCACAAAATAAGAAATTTACAAGACTGAAGGGGGTGTCATAAAGAAACAAAGTACCTATACTCATCAGCGCCACCATGGGAACTCGAGCTGGGAGAACTCCTCCTTTTGCTGCTGCCAACAACAGCATCAACATTTGCTTGACGTGACTGGGACCTTCCCCTATCTGCATCTAACTCAACTCTACCACTCATCAATGATTTGTTTTCCAAGTATGATTTCTTAACTCTAGATTTAGTGTCATTACCATCATCTCGATCATCAAGGGATCTCTTCCTTACCCTGCCATCTTTGTGTGTAGCAATCAGATCATCAAGATGTAATCCATCACGGTCATGATCAATATCTCGGCCACGGTCACGATCTCGGTCTCTATCCTTGTCCCAATCGCTGTCACGGTGATCAAGTTCTCGACCATGATCTCGGTCTCGATCCCAATCATGACCATAATCACGGTCACAGTCATAATCATGATCACGATTGCGATCACGTTCTCGATAATGGTCACGATAACGTTCACGTTCTCGATCACGTCCCAAATCCAAGTCACGATCCCACTCTCGATCTCGATCACACTGCCGCTCCCTATCACGATCATGCTCTCTATCATGGTCATGACTACGCTCACAGTCACTATCTTGAGCCTTGGACTTCTTCTGTTGAACTTCCACAGCATCTTTTTCATCCCTCACATGCTTCTCGCTAGACTTACTATTAGCATGATCTCTTGCTGGTCGTTCACTTCTCAATTTAGCATCTCGGTACTTGTCTTCATGGTCCATGTCTTCTCGATACTTGTCTTTGTATCTCTCATCCTTGTGCTTCTCATCTTTTACTCTTCCATCCTTGTCAGCATCATTCCTTAAAGACAACTGTCTATCCAAAATGTCTCCATTATCTTCTTGATATTTATCCCCATCACCAGAACCACCTCTCTTTTTTCTAAGTCGCCTCTCAAGCTGGCTCTCAGATTCAGGACTTTGCAACCGGTCTGGTACATCCAACTCTGGAATGACAAAGATAAAAAGGAAGAATTTCAGCATGATCAAGTAATTCATCAAAAAAGGTATACTTTATACAAGAAGTCACTTGGTAAAAAATAATAAAACCCATTTAAAGAAAGTGAAAGACTTCTGGTTTCAGTGAATGAAAATGCAAATAAATTAACTAATCACTAGATGTTACCATGAATATTTCACCAACTAGTTAGTGAGAAAACCTCAAAAAAAATCTCAGAAGTTAAAATTTCATTCAGCCAACACCTCTATCACCAAAAAAACAAACTACCTATACAATTTATAAATTTTCACTAATAGAATAAAGAACTTGGGTGGGAATGCATAATGCAAGATAAGTAACAATATATCAAGTAGACAATGACTACATACAAATATAAAACAGAAAATACAGCAATCCAAAGCTTAATAGGAAATTTAAAAACAAAAGGAAAAGTGAAAGAATGCACGCTAAACATTAGAATTCATAATGCATAAAAAAAAGACTACATGGTCTACTAAAAGCTAATAATCACTTTTCTCTGCAAAATCAAAACCACATCCTGACAGGTCCAGACATAGCACTGATATTACTTGAACCAAAGCATCAAAATTCAACCTTTTTGTAATAGGTCTGAAATGAAGTCATCTAACACACTGAACAAAAACATCTCCAGGCCAAAACACAAGTGGCTATATGATCATATACTCATACTAAGACAACTAACACAAGTGGCCATATGATCATATACTCAGAGTAAGACGACTTACTATGGCACGAACCAATATGGAACGATCTTTCATTACCAGCTGAGGATCTTGATGGTGCATTTATTGGTAAATATTTTTAAATACAGGACTATTAGTAAAAAGTCAGCACTTACCATCATAATTTACGAACCTTCAAAACTCCCTTCAAAGTAAACATCTCCAGGCCAAAACACAAGTGGCTAAATGACCATATACTCAATAGTGAGATGACTTACCATGACAGTTTACCGAGATGGAACATTCTTCCACTACCAGCAGAGGATCTTGATAGTGTTATGTATTGCTAAATATTTTTAAATACAGAAGTATTAGTAAAATTTAGCACTTACCATCATATTTTACTAACCTTCAAAACTCCCTTCTAAGTTCCAACATACCATTTATTGATTTTTGTATTGAAAGCGTTTATTGCTGATGATAAATGTATTAATTGGAAATACCATCACAAGATGGTATCTTTATTACCTTCAAGTTATTATATGCTCAACTGAAGAGGATAGAATCAGGATCTTGGAATTTACATGTACTTAGGATCCTTGCATCCCAGCATACTCTGAACATATTAGCTAAACTATTTCCTAATATAAGTTGGGAAATTACTTTCATATTACTTGGAAAAAAAAAACACATATAAATGCACTTCTAGATGTGCATACAGAAGCGCGCCAACTTAAAGCTTCACCTAGAAAATTCTCTGAATATACATATAAATTAGTCTCCTATCCCAAAACAGAGAATCATATATGGAAAAATACTGTTAAAATAACATTTTGAAGCCAAAAGAAAACTAAATTTTGGAGATTCCACGTAAAATTTTTAAATACCTTTCAAGCCAATACCCTGAAACAGGAAAACAGCGAAAAGGAAAACATGCTCCCTAACACTATGAAACAATGTCAATTTAATATTGAAGACTAAATGACCTACAAGTGGTTCATATGCCATTGCCCTCTGGACTCAAAAACAGGGTGCATGTCAGTGCACAAAAGAATAATTAATTAAGTTTTAAGGTCAGACATTAGTTGCATACTAACAGTAATACATAAGGGTATAAAAACAATTCAATGTCCACACGTTCCCAATATCAAGAAAACTAATCTGTAGAAACAATCTTCTTCCATTAAATTCAACGATTTCAGCTACTCTTTAAATTCCTCAACCCAACTTATCATCTCTGCAAACAAAGAATCTATTTTTCTTCTTTGTCGCATGCAGCAAATAAAGTGCCAAAATCATCTAACTCTTAACACTTAAGAATTATGTGGTTTGAATTTAAACTTCCTCCTAGAAAAAATCCCATGTTTCCCTTAAACATATATAAATAAAAATCAACTTAACATGCTTTCAGAGAGTCAAAAAAAATATAAAACCATGGATGTGTTCATGAGACATTAATTAAGACTAGCTTTCTTCAGAAATCTATAGATTGAAAGTTAGCAATATTTGAGATTACAAAATTGTTCTTTCTACATATTAACAATGGTCATTAATTACAAAGCCAAAAGGTTCCCAAGATCTTTTAAAATAGTTATAGTCCTCAAAAACCAAATTATAAAGTGTTCCAAGAGGATTTTTAAGATAATAGTCAAGAAAAAGTCTGACAAAGAAAATAAAATATAACAGCATCCTATCACTCAACAACCATCATGCCACTTTTTGAATGATCTTAGTTTCATCAGGTGACACTGGAAAATGTACAGAGTGAACGAATGTAATTCAATCAATACAGTCAAGTTAATGCTATGACAACAAGCAAGTGGGAAAATAAGACTTGAACATAAAATAAAAAAATCAAACTATAAACACGACGACTAGTCTAATTCACCAAGAATATGCAAGGAAACTCAACAGCATAAACTTACATACAAACTAGTACATAGACTGAAAGCAAATGCACAAGAAAGTCAAGTCAAACTATAATGTGAATCAGTTCACTAGGGACATAAAACTGCTTTGAGCACGAAATTATTGGAAACAGAATGGAAAAGGAACTGAATATTAAGACAACAGCTGGACAAAATTGGCTATATTATAACAAAAGGAACTTTAGCGTCCTCAGACAAAATTTATTTTCTTTCTGACAACAACTAGAAACATAAATATTCTCCCTTTTCAATGCAGAATATGTTAACTCCTAAAAGCAAATAAAAAAAAAAAGCCTACTAATTGGGAAGAAAATTAATATAACAATCGATCGCAATATACACTACCAAAAAAAAAAGTCCAAAATAATTAGAAAATCACATATGTCATTGCAACTAACCAACCAACAAACAATAAGTTACCTTACCAGTTTTTTCAGCGGATTGTTTTACAGTGCGGTGATATTCACTCCCAATCAGCCTATCACTCTTGGCTTCTTTAGCTTTCTTCTCTCTGTCCCTTTCCTCCTTTCTACTGGATTCTCGATGCCTCCCCTCACTCTTACTCCTCTTTGCATCATCTCCTTCCACCTCCTCTTGCCTCTTACTCTTCGATTCATTAGAAGCTTTAGACTTCTTCTGTCCTTTACCATCATCCTCACCGCCATTCCACCTATAGCTTACTCCATCATCTGCCTTATCTTTGCGCCGCTTCAAGGAACTGTACTCCTCGACATAGTCGCCATTCCCCGAACTCCCGACATCCTTACTGGTCTCCTTCGAATCAAGCTTTCTCTTCTCACCGGATCCCGTGACCTTCGAAATCCGACCACTGCTCTCCCCCTTACTCTGATTTTCCTTTTCCTTTAAGTCCGAATCTTTCTCCGAATCTGAGTAGTCCCTAGCATCCCTAGAACTGTGTTTGCTTGATTTGTGCCTTGAACTACGCGGCATCACTGGCGCCCGACTACGAGAACTCAAAAATACCCTAACCAGAGAATGAGAATAAGAATAGAACAGAAAAATCTCCGAATAAAAAATGAAAGCCTAATCTCAAATCAACATTCAATATAAAAAATCCTAATCTCGAATCCTCAAAGATAAAAACAAACGTAAATTCTCGAAAAAAAAAATGATACTGGAAACCCTAATTGGGCAGAATAGGAGTGAAAGTTGGTGGGAATCCTAACGAGGAAGGAAACGAAGCAGTGAACGGAGAGGATAGATCAAAAAAGTGTAGGCGGGGGCGGTTGGGGGAACGGGATCGATAATGAGGAAAATTACGAGGGAGGGAAGGCAGGGGCGAGATTTTTGGGGTTTTGAAGAAGAAAGATTGGGGTCGTTTTGGGGATAAATGTGGAAGAGCGTGTAATTTTGAAGAATTAGAGGAAACGAGCTGCGCCTTTGCGTTCTAATGGGCCTTTTTTTTTTTCGTTTAGTTTTATACTAGTTAATAAGACTCTCTGCCAATCTGACAGGATTACCCTTGACGTTTACCCGTATTACGGTCTTGTCCTTGCTTGGCTTGGCTAGGTGCTTTACGGTTAAGTAATCCTTTTTTTTGGCCGAACCGGTTATTTAATCTTTAATCGTCATCAAAACAAATTATTTGTTTATTTGCTATTTAAAGTACGGGATCCAATAACAAAATGACACGCTAGTAGTCAGGGATCGAGAAAGAATCAGGTGTTATTAAACTTCAACTTGATCACCTAAAGTGACGTGAAATTGATGAATCAACGTATATGAAACTTGAAAGAACAGCTTTTAGGATTGGACGAGTCTGATTGGCTGGAACCCACCAAACGAAGACCGATTGTTCGGTGGATTCGGGTGCAGGGAGTACAAAAATCCAATATAAGATCGAAGGCCTAACTCCTCCTAAGGGACTAAGTGCTGCTCTGTACTTTCGTTTGTTCCAATTGTTTTTCATTTTTATCCAAATGAACCAAATCCCGCATCATTTTTACCTCTTAAGCTGAGCTCAACTGACCAATTGAAGAAGAAAGAATAAAATTGCTCACATCAAAGCTGTCTTTTGAAATCCGTCTAAAGCTTATCAGAAAATCACATGTAAATTCTACCTATAAGATTTGCAACTTTTTTATTTTTAATCTATTAATTTTTAATTTAGACTCATTAAAGTTTGTTAATGAATTTGTGTTATAAATTAACCGAATATTAACTCATTTTGATATTTTCATCAAATTGTTCTGTTAAAATTTATTAATGTTGGTGTTGTAGATTACTAAATGGTATTCCATGCGAACGTTCTCTAAGCATTCAATGTTTTTCTCAATTATTAACAAAATATTGTAATGAAAATACCTAAGAAAAAGTTTACCTTAAAAGGTTAAAAATTCAAAAAAAAATAATTCAAAACTTAAAGGTTAAGTGAAATTAAAATAAAAACTTATAAATTATGACTAAAATTTACCCAAAAATTATAGTAAAGCTTAATTTATTTTTCGCAAATCTAGTCACTCAATTATACTTTTACAATAAAAATTCAAATAATTTATATTTATAACTTTTATATTCATATATAATTTGTGTCTATAATATCTTTACTCCAACTTAGATTAAAAAAATTTGATAATTATAATAGATAATTTCAAATATGATATAATGATATGATATAAATAAAAAATATAAAGATAATATGATTTAAAATTTTAATAAAACTATAAATATATTTAATAAAATAAAAATTATATTTTTATATTGATATAAATTATAATATATAATTTTTTAATAAAATACAATACAAGTATATAAAATTTTAATATTTTATATAATATAAATATACAAATGATTAAATCTATTAATAACGTAATAAAATAATTAAATCAATTATTGCAAGCATTAAATCCTAAAATTTGATTTTTACCAGCTATACTATTAATATTTTATAATTGCATTAAGTGCTTAAAAGCCCAAATCCCGATACACAAACAAGGCACCGTTGAAAATCAATTTATATTGGTAGGTCCATTCCAGAGATAATGACCAATTAAAAAAAAAATTCTGAACCCCATTACTCAAAAATAAAATTCTGAAGCAAACAAAATCCAAAATCATATGGGTGTGGGTAGTATTTGCAATCAATCACATGCAAGAATTTCGATGGAGCACTGACGTGGCAAGACGCGAAACAAAGAACCGGAAGATACCGGAAAAAACCAACTGGAAAGAAGCCAAAAAATAAGAAAGAATTACGGATACAGCAAGAGAGAGTAGATATTTGCAGGGGTGGACGCAGACATGGGTAAAACTCATGACACAACGCATCGAGCGTACTCTCTCACGCAACTGTCACGCTCTCCTTTCTCTTTATATCCACGCCTCTCCCACCTTCCCTTACCAATTTCCAATTTCTCTCACTTTTTCTGGTAAGTCCCTCGATTTTTGCATTTCCTTTCACTTTCATTTGTTCAAAATAATTTATTGTTTAAATAAATTTAAACTTCCTAGTGCTCCCTGGAATGGAATTGATCTCTTCTCTTTTATTCATTTTAAGTTTTATATTTTACTTTGACTGAGTAAAGTGGATAAATATTTGCTTAGTTGGATTGATCTGTGACGGTTTTGTTGGCTGGCAAGAAAAGAAAGTAGGGAGGCTTTGCGTTGTATCGATCCAGCTTTGTCTTATAATGAATTTGATTATTTGAGTTTATTTCCTGCGATTGATAATATGCACATTATTTTGAGTGGATCAATCATCAAAACGACTAAAATTATAGGTTTCAATCGTTTCAGCAATCTGCTAATCTGCTGGAGGAGCTACAATCTTCTGATTATTGGCTTATTGTTGTTTTGTAGAGTTTAGAGGTTTGATCGATGGCAATATGTCGATTGTCTATGAATCCAAGTCTAGAAAGTGTTGAAGTATGGCATTTTAATGCCAATTTGTCGACAACTCTGGTTAGGCCTAGTTGCCTACGGTTTAATCAGAAGTCACCTTGCTCTGCTAGGAGACAATTGCAGGAAGTAGGATGTTCATCCTTAAGAAAAGCTGTATCGGCGAAGCAATTAGAAGGGAATGCACTAACTGCCACAACAATTTCTGGTGAAGAAGAAGCGGGGCATGTGACAAGGTTCAAGATGTCTGATTTTAAGGTTCTTGAGTGTGTCAGCATTGGCCTTGCTGGCCGGGTATGAAGCATATATGCTTGTGGTTTGTTTTTGGGTGTCATTGGTATAGTTTATATTTAGTGTCTTCAATTGTTTTCTTGTAGGCAGATGAGGTGGTTTTTGAAGCTGTAGTGAAGGATTCTAGCAGGTTAGTCTTCTTTAATTGAGCAAGGACTTAAATATGATGATATAATCTTAACATGCTGTGTTAATGAAGCTGCAGCCCTTTGTATGACTCAAGAGTTGTGCTTCGACATCTTACTAGTGCTCGAGCTCAACGTAGGGGAAGGCGAGCGATAGAGGTCTGTTAACTGTGTGCATTAAATCATGTATTTTTTCCCACAGCTCAATCTTATTTTGAGGTGATGCCTTGTATGGAATATGTTACAGGTATTAAAAAAGCTGGTTCGCCGCAGAATCCTCTACCATTCTTATTCAATGCACGTTTATGGTTATGTCTCATCACAAACAAGTGGTGGTCATAGCTCATTCACTCTGGTTCACGGGGTATGCTCCCTCTATCCAATGGATTCTTTTAGTACTACTTTTTTATTCCTCTATCTTGCATAGTCTACTCATGTTTCCTCACTGAATTAGTCGTTTTTCCGTTGAGGCCTATGTTTCAATACCAGCCAGGTTCCTTCTGTACTTCTTTCTAGTAGATTGAGACTATGTTGTATCATTTGGCAGTACCATGGTAGCTTTTCATTAAGACATTGGCTTCAACAATCTGATTGGCTTCCAACTTTAGAAGCAACTCTTGCATTGGATGAAGAGTCTGTTAGGAGGGTAGGAGATGACTCAGTTGGGGGACCTGCAGTTTCTAGACAGTTGCGGCTTATTAGAATATTGATGAGGGACCTCTTAATTGGAGTATGTTTCTATTTTCTAGTCATAAAGTCTTTTATCTCACGTTTCTCAAAAGTTGTCAGCTATACATGATCCTATATGTCTCAGAGGGTGGCATTATGTTGCTTTTGTTGTTTACCTTTTCAGGTAAATTACTTGCACAGCCATGGGATTGCACATACAGAGTTAAGGCTGGAAAATGTGCATATAAGCCCAGTTGATAGACATATTAAGGTATTTACCAATTCTCTTTATGATAATTGAGGAGGTTTGGCACTTTGTTTAATGATGATATATGGAATTCTAGTTCTGCTTAGCACAATGGCATAGTTCAATTGCTTTCTCTGCTTTTGTTCTTCCTTCAACTGTATAACTTTTAAAACTGACCTTTTCAGGTAGGAATACTGGGAAATGCTGCTGACTTCTATGATGATGGTCCGAATGGAAGTGCAATGGATGCCAACATGGATAGGAGACAAATGATGATTGCATTTGACATGAGGTATTGTGCTAATAAAAACCAACGTTTTAGTTAAGATCTGAAACATCATCTTGAAGCTCATTAAGTTTCGTGTCTTACAAAGGTGTGTTGGATTTATGATGGCAAAGATGGTGTTAAGAGAACTCATGGATCCCATAATCTTTGCAAAGTTCAAATCATTCCTTATGAAGGTATAGCATGTGTAATTGCTGTTTAACTTAATCTTTTTATAACATAATGTAAGAAGTGACTATATCTTGGGGTATGAATTAGGTCATTGAACTTAGCTCACATTGTTAGCAACAGTTTTGTTGAGTTATATTCTTAAGGCTACAGTATATACATAAAACATCAAACTTTTTTATGAATTCAAGCTGCAACTAGTTGATGCTATAATCATCACCTGCTAGATATCACAAGTTAGCTGCCATGTTTGGGCAAATTGTAATTTGTAGGCACGAAGAGTTTCTTCATTAATAGCTGAGTAATCATTAGCTGTGTACCTTTCAAAAGATTGTCTTACGATCTCAATATTAAAGTTACTCTTGTTATTATTGTAAGAATCTTTAATGTAGCCATAGTTTTTCGGATAAAAATTGGTTTGCTTTCCCTCTGTAACATTTAAATTCTGCTGAATGAATCTTGTATCAAACCATATTTTCCTTGTGTGCAATTACAGGGAAATGATTCCTCATGCTTGCGTGAATTTCTTCTGCCAATCCTCACTAGGAACTCTCCAACTGGAAATGCTGGACTCCAGGTAAGTCATTTTACTTGAATATGACATGGCACTTCTTTACTGTATGTGAGGATCTTTTAGCAAATTATCTTCTTGCAGATACTTGATAGAAACTGGGGTGCAGGTTGGAATCTTCTTTCATTGTTGCTTGCAGTCAGACCTTCTAAAAGAATAAGGTATGCTATTAAATTCATGTGATTTTTTTTCTTTTTTCTGTTTGAATGCCTGAGAATGCAATTGGAACATTAATCTAAGTTTGTCTAATAAACCTTCAGAAATGCTGAAAAGTAGAATTTGAATTTGTTCATTGGATTAAACAGTTTGCAGTTTTCCCAACCCAAAATTTGCAAAACCAAGTTTTATGAATAGGAATTTAACAATCAGAATATAATGAAGACATCGCATTATTGGCTATGGGGTTTCTTTTTTTTTCCTTTTAAATTCCTTCTGATAATGTAGAACCTTAAATATATTTCAATAAAAGTCATGCAAATTTACACATCATAGTAATTAGTTAGGGTTCTCCATCAATGTTTATGGTTTTCTGAGCTTCTTGATGGATATTTAGTAAGTTGTATCTAATGATTTTCTATTTTCTTTATAGTTGCTTAGATGCTCTTAGGCATCCATTCTTGTGTGGACCGAGATGGCGGGTGGTCCCATCCATGGATATTATCAGATGGGGCCTTGGGTCAACTGCAGTGAGAATCACGGAGGAGTATATTTATCGTCAACCTCAGGTATTTATGTACATTCTGTTGCTGAATGATGGGATGTTAAATGTTATTTCAATTTAGACAGTATACCGTTGTTTTTTCTAAAGCTAAAAGGCACCTAAGATGGAATGCTTCAATATCACTAAATATGATGTGTCCTTGCTCCTTAGAACTCTTTACACTACAATCCATGTTTCCCACTCAATGTTTTAAATGTGGATAGGTGAGCTAACATGTTTTTTTCATATTTTAGCGTGGTAGGCTTGCCCATTTTATTGAATTAATGGAGATGTTGAATCCTCATTCAAGGCCAAAGGTGATTCCTCTTCTTTCTCTCTCTCTCTCTCTCTCTCTCTCTCTCTCTCCCCCAGGTGTTGTTCTTTTGTAGGACAATGTTTAGATGCTCATTCTTTTTATTCAAGTAATTCGTATTGTTGAACATTATAAACGAAGGCTCTTCACATTTCCATTGCATTTACTAAGAGATGAACAAAATTAATATTAATCATGGAAGCTTATGCTAATATGTATTGAGATTCATCTTTATTTGGGACATGCAGAATTGGCTGGAGTTGTTGCCAGGAAAATGGCGTTTGTTGTACTCTACTGGAAGGCATATAGGTTTAACTCTTCGCCAACCTCCTGTCCGTGTCCTCATTGGTGATGCATACCTAACAATTTTAAGAGCTTCCAAGTTAAAAACAAGCCTTTCTGTCATGTCCGAAATTGGCTTCACAGCCATCTTGGGACATGATTGGCCCCATGATAAAAGGGGTACCAAGGGGAAATTGCAAGTGAACTCTTTATCTAGTTTAAGAGCTGGGAGACGATTATATCTTAAGGACAAGCCCGCAGAAGGATTCTCTTTGAGACAATCAAACTCCGAGGAGTCCATAGTTGAGAAACTATCTAGCAGAAAATGGAGAAAAGCGATACCCTTCAAGGAGCTCCCTTCAAGTCTACCTGTAGCTAAGCTCCTTCCAGATGATATCGAGGTGTCAATGAGTTTTGATGACCCGTTGAAACAGGGTGTTGATGTTGCAAGAAACATAGTTCAGGAAATTCGGACACAGATTCCCCCTGAAATGTTTGAATTGTCAAATCTTGTGTGTGGAACATATGTTGACTCAAGAATGCTTGTCCTCCGAGGCGTAAATGGCTCAGCACTCATCTTTACAAGGTCTTGTGCAAATGAAAGTTGTAGGTAATACTGTTTCTTGATCTGGTACAGTTAATGTAATCGAAAGCCGATTTCAGCCCGAAATGGAGAAAATGCCTTATTAGAATGTTATATACCTAACCATTTTTTTGGGTACATTTCAACAAGACAGAACTGAGGAGCAAGTTTGAATGCCGAACCTTGGATCTTCCATCAGATATAACAACTGCTAAGGAAAATTTAGGTTGTTAGCTCACTTTTTTTTTTTTTATTAAAAGCAAATGCAACATTAATCACAGCAAAGACTTAAATAAGAACAGCATGTAGGCCTCATATTGTTTTAAAGTTCCAAAGAGACACTGCAGCATAACCTTTGACTTCTGCAATCCAATAGTTCACCCAAATACCCCATAACCTTTGGTTCCCCAGGGTAGCCATTGAGGTTCTCTCGGTGAGAACACCATAATACATGATCAGGGAAGGAACACGTGGAAAGTGTCTGGATGAGGCACCCAAAATGCTCTCCTCTTAAAACTCAGGGTGGGCTTCTCAAGAGAAACATCTTTAAATCAGTCCTTGCCGCTGCAGATCAGTATATGTCTTCTTGTTATAGATGTTACCCTCTTTATCCTCATATTCTTCTTCAAGATCTGGACGCCATTTGTTCACTCCTTGCCGTTCTTGTATCCTCCCCCACAGTTCTTTTGCTTCCTGTGACATTTGAGTATATTTGCTACATGTTAATAATTATCAAGATATCGAACGGGTTTATAACTGCAATCCTTGTGAATACTTGTTGCTGTTATCTAGATGCTTGTTGCCCTTACCGTCTTAAGGCCACAAGCCATCATTTTTTCTTTTATTATTATTATTTTTATTTACTTGAGAAAAACAATAAGGCATTTGTGCCAAAGAATTATCTACTTGACAAGCTGGCAGAACTCTATCTATCTTTTGATTGAGGCGGACAATATGCCACTAGTTGTGAATACCAATGGCATTCAAGCTCAATCATGAAAGAACCACATGTACGTAAGCAGAAAAAATATAAATCACTGCACTAGATCTGAAAAAAAACATCACATACCTCAATATTGGTGATTTCATTAAAGTTCTTGGTGTTGGGAATACCAAGGCATCGCATGCCATGCTGATGGCGCCATTCTTTAAAATGCCTCTCAAAAGCCCTACGGCCCCAGTAGCTGTAGTTCCCACAAATCTCACACTTAAATTCCTGAAGAAAAAAAGAAGGGTTGGGGGAGAGCTACATGAGAACCTGTGACTGAGGCGTAAAGAAGTATTTGCCAATCAACAGCCAAAAAAAAAAAGGATTGTATTGGGGAATCAAATAGTGAAGAAAATCTAATGTCCCTCTGCACCCTCTCCATCATTCATCTTCTCTTGAATTAGAATAAAAGGGAGGTGGAAGAAAATTGTCAATCCTTTTAGTCAGATTAGTTTTAAAACATGAAGGATGACATGTCTATAGATTTAAGAAAAAAAAAATAGATAATAGTTTTTTATTTTCCTTCAAGCTTTCACTGCTTGTTTAGTAAACTGTAAGTTGACAAAGTAACTTTACACGCAAAAGTTCACATCACAAATAAAATTTGCATTAGTAGGAGAAATTACCTGACCAAGACCATGAAGCTTATAAAGCCAGTAAGGTATAGGCTTCCCATCCCAACCCATTGGCAATTTAAGAGGATTATAGATCTGTTGATCTTCTTCATCACTTTCAGTATCAATTTGTGTCTCTTCCTGTTAGAAAGCAATCATTTATTGTCACAAACCACAACAGATAGAATTTAAAGATACTAAAATTTTCGAGAGAAGTAGTTTCCACTTTTCTTCACTTTTTTTTTTTTTGTTATAACATGGGGACTGATAATTCAAAAGTTACCGGTTAACCTTGATGGCTGTCCAACTGCCGGTACCTTATTATGATGAAAAAAGAGTCCAACTAAAGATAAAACACACTTTTGATAAACATCCAAAGTTACTGGTAGAGGAAGAGTGAAAAACCAATATACGAAATCAGTTTAATTCCACCAAAGTTATCTCATCCCCTCCATTTGTTGTGTCCTAAATACAGCTATAAAAATTGTGTAAAATTCCTAATATTCTCCTATTTAAAATTTGGCCTATCACATTTAAGAAAAAAGCTAAACTGCTTCTGCTCCAATCAAAGATTTGAAATGCAGACAAATGTTTGGCCAATTACCAACTGAAAGTGAGGTCTAAAGACCAGAAGCAGGGTTGAAACCAAGTGGATTGATGCAAGCAGGTTTCACATCTAAAACTCTACCTACTGCCATTCCTACAGGGTGTTGAAGGACTGGCATTTATATGAATTATACTCATAATACCACAATATGAGCAAAGAAAATTTTGTTCTAGTACTAGAAGCACTTGAATGGCTATACCATAAGAGATTAACTTACCTCCTCACGTTCTTGTTCCATTTCCTCATATGTCAAAGCTTGCTTCTTTACCACATTTTCCTTTGTTTGTTCAATTGTCTACAAAAGGTCACAAAAATATTAATTAAATACCACTCACTGCAATTACCATTTCCGGACTACAAACAGAAGCAAAATGTACTTTTGCAATAACTTTCCCTCGTATTTAAAATTTTTATCAAAGATGGTATGTAACCAAACAACTAACCTTACTCAGTAAATCACAGAGTTTCTTCATCTTGGCCTCTATCGACGCAACATCTTTAAGATTGTTAATGTCTTGTGGAACTACAGTAGACCCATTTTGTTCTGGTCCACGTGAGCCTTTCGCAAAATGTTTCTTGTCCAGCTTTTCCAAAGGTGTGTGCTGTATAAAATATATGGAGAAATAGAATATATATTTTTGAACTTGTTTAATACTAAATTATTACGAAAACACAATCACCATTAAATCAGTGTATGGTTATCCCATCAACATTTCTCAATAAAACAACCAAGAATCCTATTATTTCACATGCTGTATCAGGCTTCACCACCAATTTGTCCTTTGATCTCTGCTAATTCCAGACTTCAAGCCCTATCTCCTCCATAAACCTATTTTCCTTTCTACCATGACTCCAAATAATAAACTCCTAATTCCTAGAGCAAATTCTAGCAAGAGAGTCTGATATGCAGATTTCTCAAAGCCAATTCAAAAGTTTCCAAATAAAGACACTTGCCCGTTTCTAGTCAAGATTCCCTTCAATAAGAACATAGGGTAAGGAGGATTTCCAATTTTATTCATTGTACTAAACCAAAGATGGACATTCTCTCATACCAGCATTACAACATAGCAGAGAGAAAGAGAGACAAATTATAACATATCATTATATGAGAGCTTAAGTGCTATTACCTTTGTGAGGAAAAGCCTCTCTGCACGCTGCTGGACAGTACCCCCAGTTTTTAGTCCTAATGCTGCCAATGCCTGTGAGGATATATAAATAATTTACTCATCAACTAAGAAAAAGGAAGCCAAAAAGGGGTAATTCATTTTAACTTTTACACTGTTAGCAAAGTAGTTTAAGTACATATCACATAATTGCCTAAAAAAACCTTTTCACTAAGCTAGTTCTTCCCAAAGGCAAAGTGACAAAGCGACAAAGCTTACCATGTAATTGCAATAGCTCCTAAAACCCAAATTACAGCATTTAAAACAGAAAAAGCTACTCTAAGTGAACATAATATACCACAGAATAAGAACGGATATCCTTCTTGCACCTACTCTTAATTTTTCATTCTCAAATTAATTAATTAAATTGAAACCAACCAGCAAGATACGATGTTTACAGTGACAAGATCAAAGAATACAAGAACAACAAGGTTCTTTATATTTCACTGTTTAATGAAACTTGACCAGTCAACCTCACATTCCTAGGCACTGAATACAAAAAATTGGAGTCACTAAAAAAAACCTGGCTAGAAATGATAACATGATCATGGAGGACCATAATTACCTCCTTTAACTTTTCAGGACCCACTTCCATCAGCTCTTCAACTGTGCTGTAATAATCAAGATCAATCACGGCATCCTGGGCAGGATCATCTCCATTTTCTTGACCTTGTTTCTCCCATCCTTGCACCTGACCATCAGCCCATTGCTCCTCAAATTCAGCCTCAACCTATCACAAACCACCACAAATGTATTTCAATTTATTAACAACGAAATTTCTTAAAAAAAAAAAAAAAAAAGAATTTCCATTTTATATTGATACAGCTCAAGGTGGATACTCATGACTCAAATTCTTTAAAAAAAAAAAAATTCTACAAACCCATCTTAAAAAAAAGGGGTTGGGTTTGAGGTTAGAATCTCATTTTAGATAAAGATGCGCAAGTGACTTTAAGTAAGTAATGTGAACCTTGGAAAATATTCTATCAAGATCTTGCAGCGGTTCGGTCCTCTGAAAGAAGTATATTAGATACTCTAGCAGATTCTCCATATACTCCCTGTATTGCCTGCAGAAAACAATATTTGCAAAAACAGTAGAAGAAGGGTGCCGAATAAGTAGAAAACCAGGAAAAAAATTAAACAGTGGGCAATCTACTTATTAAAATAAAGAATATGAAAACAGAATTGAGGAAAGTTTACCTAGTTGACTTCAGTTTCCAAGGGATATTATGTGGCTGTGAAAAGACATCAAGGTAAGCGGAGTATTCAATTTTGGCTCCAAATTTAGAATTAATGTACTGATTGAACAATTCGTGCAGGTCCAGGTAGCGACCCAAAGCTTCCTGAAAATGAATTGCTAACAAGTAACACCAGATTCCAGAAAGAAAAGCATAATACAAAATAGGATATTAGAGTAACAAAAGGTGTCCAATTGTTTGAGAAAGAGAGAGACCTCGCCGCTGAACTCGATGACCGGTTCTTCTTTAAGTAAAGCCTCAAACTCTTCATTAGCATCAACAACACGAGCAGCAGGGTGCTTTCTATGGTACTCACGAATCTGCATTAATTTAACAATTACTACACTTGACATCTATGTTGGATGATAATAACCCTATTGTGAAAATCATTCAGATTTATTCACACTTCTTAGAAAAGGCAAGATTTTGTAAAACTCCTACTTACCATTTTTCGATTCAAGGTTAAAAGAAAAGAGAATAGCAAAAGTTACCTCCTTCAACCTATCATAAAAGGCGCTAAAGACGTT